CTGGCTGCTGGAACACGATGGAGAAGGTGCTGCCAGCTGCCGGGTGCTTCCCCCAAAAATACCCCTCTGCTGTGCTGTAAGCCTTGAGGGGCTCGTAGTTCTCAAAGACGGACATGCTGGTGAACAAGGCCGCCGGCGGGTTGTCCGGAAGGTCCAAGGCGTCAGCTTGGAAGTCGTCGTCCTCCCTGGCTGCTGGAACACGATGGAGAAGGTGCTGCCAGCTGCCGGGTGCTTCCCCCAAAAATACCCCTCTGCTGTGCTGTAAGCCTTGAGGGGCTCGTAGTTCTCAAAGACGGACATGCTGGTGAACAAGGCCGCCGGCGGGTTGTCCGGAAGGTCCAAGGCGTCAGCTTGGAAGTCGTCGTCCTCCAGGCGGTTGAAGGTGCCCTCGGAGGGGGGGTGGATTTTTTTTGAAGCGGATGACGTCCTTCTGCGTGAGCAGGAGGCGGAAGTGGACCAGCAGCCAGTCGCAGGGCATCTCCTGGTAGAAGAGGAGGAGGAAGCGCGCCAGGCGAGGCAGGTCGCTGGAGCGGTAGAGCTTGCCGATGTAGCCCAGCTTGGAGAACTCCAGGGTGGCCCAGCTGGAGCCTTCCCGGGAGGCCAGCGCCTTGCGGATGGCCGTCAGGAAGGACCTGGCACACCAGACATCATCCTCAATCATCAGGTAGTAGGAGGAGAGGTTGGCGGCGAAGGCGAGGAGGAAGGCGTAGTCCACGTTCTGCTTGGACCTGAACTTCACCCGCTCCTCCGGGTCGTTGTAGTTTCTCTTGAGGCCCTCCAGGGTGGGGTAGAACTCCTGGGGAGCGTGGATGAGCAGCAGCCGGCCCAGGAGGATGTGGGGAGCAAACTTGTGGGCGATGCTGGCGGCCACCTGGGTGTTCCACGCGGGGTCCTTGTCAGCCAGGTGCACCACCACCACCATCTCCTGCAGCTCTTCCTCCGTTGACTGCTTGAAGAGGGACTGCAGTGTGGCTGGGAGGTAGTAGCCATGTGGCCGCTGCACAGAGGCCAGTCCCACTGCCAAGAATTCTGCAAGGCAAAGGCACGGCGTGAGCGGGCTGAGGGATGGCCTGGGAGGCACCACGCTGAGGACTTCCCCTGCAAGCCGCAAGGAAGGGGCTCCAGAGAGCTCTCCCCGTGGCCAGCTCGCAGGGTTAGTGCTATTTATGGCCCTGTGTCCAAGGCTGGCAGGACCTTTCTGAAGCTGAAGCCCTCAGCATCTCAGGAGGTGCCCAATATTGGCCCAAAAGGCAGAGAAGACAGGATGAGAAGTCAGGGGCTCCTCTCAACAAGAAATATTTGGGACAAAATCTTATAAAAAGCCAAACCCGGGGAAAGAACAGAGCAGTGAGAGCCCATGGGGCAGGGATGGCTTTGGGGTGTCATTCCTCCAGCCTGCTCTGAACCTTGTGGAGATGGAGCCACACTGGGACAGGGCATTCTCTGCCCTCCCCCCTGCCCAGCACTGGCCCCACTTGTTCAGCTTCGCAGCAGCTTCTCCTGCCACTGCTCTGTGCAGCACTGTGCACGTTCCACATCTCCAGCCTCGCCTGGAGCTGCTCCAAGCTCCTTCCCGTGGCCTTTGTGAACCTGTCCAAGGGGCTGACCCACGAACCCCACACTGTGCAGTGTCCCCATGGCCCAGCCCCACCATCTCCACCTTCCTCACCGGAGAGCAGGAAGCACCCCAGAGAGACAGGACCTCACCCCCCCTCTGCAGGGGAAACCCAAACTCGCTGCAGTCCCCCCAGTGGCAGGGGCAGGAGCACGGGCCATGCCTGGAT